GCTTCCCCTTCAGCCAAAATTGTCAGTTTCCTGAGTCCTCCCTAGCCACACTGAACTGTGAGTCAATTAAATCTCTTTTCTTTGTAAATTATTTGGTCTCAGGTATATCTTTATTACCAGTGTGAGAAGAAACTAATATACCAAAGAACCAAAAAATGTTGTTTTTTAAAAATAGCTTTCTAGTACACAGACAAATGAGGGTAGTAAATGGTTTCCTTAGGAAGAAGAGAAAGGTGGAACACAAAAATACATTTATGATGATAACCATAACAAATAATGATTAACAGAGCCCTACCGGCTAAGAAAGATTTATTAGAACCATAAAAATAGAGACAAACTGAGGGTTCCACAGCCTTAGGAAAAAGAAAATTTAAATCTATTCAATGATAACATAAAATGTTTTAGTAAAGATGTAACAGTTGAGTTTGGTATTCATGGATAGATTATTTAGTACTGGTAGAGAACATGTGGGTAAAAACCTGGTTTCCAACCAGATGGTACATGATTACCACTTGGAAATTTTATAGTAAAGATTCATAGACTTCTGAATCAGAATCTTACTGTGGCTCATTAATGAAGAGCTTTGAGAGAGGCCAAGGATTTTTCATTTTTACATATGGTCTGAATTAAGTGGATAATCCACAAGTTAGTGGTGCTCTCCATCCCTGGATTTTAACAATTTGATACAAGGCTCAACAAGATCTGGAATCTGGAATCATAAGTAAGTGGAACTGAAGGCACATAGATGTATATAAAGAAGAAATGGTTGATAAATGTGGAAGGTAAGTGGTTGCTGGAGAATGAGCCTGTTGTACACAAGGTTAATATTTTTGGTACTTAACAGATTTTTTTTTTTTTTTTTTTGAGAGCCAAATTGCTCTTCTGGGCTTTCAGGATCCAGCAATGATCAAAGTGAATATTCGTTCTTGTCGTGCTTACATGCTAGTTAGGACAGACAAATAAGAGGCAAATACAGAAAAAAAAAAAAAGGCAAGATTATCTCAGACACTGTGTGCTATTGTCATAGGACCAACAGATTCCTACGCCTACTGTCTTGTAACAGACTAATACACTGAGACAACAGGTTTTGAAGCAGAGAAAGTGTTTAATGATATCAGAGTAGCCAAGTAAGGATATGAGAGAGACTTCCAAATGCATCTCCCTGAGGAGTTCTGGGTTGTGGGCTTTAAGTGGGTCATAGAAGGTGAAGGACTAGAAAATTAGAGTTATTGACTGGTCAGGGTTAGGGGGATAAGATCATCAGTATGTGAAAACTATATTCTTTAGTGTGTCCTTCAGAACAGCTGCCATCAGTAGTTTCACTGATATGTATAACCTGCAATATCTCAAATGGAAAACTTAAACATTTCAAAATGTTTAAGTTATTATCTATAGAGTAGTTAAGGGGAGCTCTAATCATGTGACAGGGTCTGTGTCATTCAGGGGCAAAACAACTATAAGCAAGCAGGTTAGAGAGCAAGCTGACCTAATGATTTTTACTGAATTCCTTGTAATCTTGGTTTATTTTCATTTCTCCCTCATCTCTTCTTCCCTGTTAATTACATAAAATTTATAGAGATGGTTTTGCTATAGAGGAAGGCGGACTGAGGGTGGGGGTAATGGGACAATATTGTTTGGATGGGACTTAGCAAGAAAAAGGGGCCATCCATAAAAAAGATAGGGAAAGAATATTTCAGGGAGGGGAATGGCACAGGCAAAGGCCTTTAAGTCCAAATTAACTTGATATGTTTGTAGAACAGGAATTATGAAATCAATTGGTAATGGATCAGTATGTAGTGCTTTCATGTGGGAGAGGGGCTGATGTTATTGTATCCCGCAATATTACTTTTGGGGGAATATAAAAAATCTGGAATGTAGGGAGGCTATTAGAAAAGTCTAGCTGAAATTTATTTGTAGTAGCCAATCTAAGAGGTAGTAAAATCCTTCCCTAAACTAATCTCAGAATGGCCAGGAGATGACCAACCATGTTGAAAGAGAGTTTGGAGATGAAACTATCAGATTGGGTACTGCTTAATTGTGAGCTACCAAGGTAAAGAGAAAAGCCAAAACTGAATTCAAAAGTTTAAGACTGTATGAGGCTACTTAACAGCACTGCCATGCACAAAAATAAGGATATCTGTTTGGAAGAGAGGGCATCTAAAAATTTTGTTCTGATTACGTTAACTTTAATCCTTTTTAAGACTGAGAATGATGCTTTCTATGACTTATTTGGGGGTATTTTAAGTTTGCTTTAGTTAAGAGAAGTGCTTGGTATATGCATTACTTGACAAGCATTATTCAATTTGCTAGGCTTTTTTTTTTTTTTTTAATTTGACCTAAATAGGGTGCTGGATTGGAAGGATTGAAGCCCAACATTCTTAACTTGGTTCTAGCCTTAATTGTGTAATCTTGAGTTAGTCATTTTTCAGATATTCAATTTCTTCATTTAAAAGGAGGAATTGAACATGAAGTTTTGGCTTCTTCCAGCTCTAACAATTTATGATTTTGCTACTCTTTTGCTATTTTGTTTAACCTAGGGAAAAAATTTTGAAATGTTCTTAAGTATAAATTAATTGTATTTTCTAGAATGTATTTATCCTCTATCTTTAGTGATTAAACACTCTCATTAGTGTCCAAAGAGACAACACTAAAAATTAGAATTAATGACGAGGAGAGAGGCTCAGGTGGTTATTCATAGCCATTTTGTATATTTTAAAAATAATATAGAATAACATCTCATCATGGGCAATCAGCAGCAAAGTTGAGATGTACAATCAAGATCAATCTTTTACCTAAACCCTTCCCAGGCTCTCCACATCATTCTTCATATATTTAAGCCAATTCTAATTTCCTCTGGTTATAGTTTTTTTGCACGTATTATTATTCTGAAATGACAGTATTTTAAATATTGATACATTCATAAAAAATTTTGGAACAAATTGTCAAATCATGGCTAAGATCAATAAAGGATATCAAAAACACTTTTACTTGCTTCTAAATTGTAAGACTTCAGCTAGCAGAAAGTAGATTATGCTGACACAAAAAATAACTTTTGTAAATTAAAGTTGATGCTAAGTCTAAACTCTGCCAAATACCTCAGGCAAGCTATTTCTGTGAGAGCAGTACACTCTCATTAAAGGTAAAACAAAGATAATTGTAACTGACCCCTACCAACTGCACAGTAAAATTAAGAGGATTAGTGAGTGATTCAGTCTAGTGCTTTGTGAATCTACAAGGCATGAGTAAATAAAAAGTTCCATCATTTTATTGGGGCCTGTGGCATGTATCTTATCTTCTCTCACCTTTGCATCCTCATCTGCAAAATGGGATGACTAATAACCCTCTGGCTTACCCAATTAATCTCAATGTGAATTAATGAGTAAATGATGACTTTATACAGCCTGATGTAGGGAAAATTATATTATTGACTGATTCATAAGATGTTACAGTTTTGTACATAAATGCTTAATCTCATTTTGTAAAGTAGATGTGCTTTGACAACTATGACTATACTGCTTTTGAACTCAGCAACCACATCTCTATTTATTGAACAAACCAATTTTTATCTTTTTTTTTTTTTTTTTCGAGCAATAGTGTCTTGCTCTGTCACCCAGGCTAGAGTGCAGGGGCACAATCATAGCTCACAGCAGCCTGGAACTCTTGGATTCAAGTAATCCTTCCACCTCAGTCCCCTGCATAGTTAGGGCTATAGGCATGTGCCACCTTGTCTGCCTAATTAAAAATAAAATTTTTGTAGAAATGCATTCTTGTGTTGCTCAAACTCCTGGCCTCCACTGATCCTCCCACTTTGGCCTCTCAAAGTGCTGGGATTACATGTGTGTGCCACTGCACCTGGCCCAAATCAAATTCTTAATAAAATTCCTGAACATGTCTCTTGGTTTATTCTATGTGAAAAAAATTATTTTTAATTTACCTTTCAATAAAAAAGTGCAAGTTAAACATGATTTCTCTGAAATTTATCTTAGTATAATTTTTCTTGCTTCTTTCCCCAATTCAGAAGTTTCATAACTAAATTATATTTTCTAAAACATACATTCATGTTTATAGCTGTGAATATGAACCAGAGTAACAATAAAAATAATAAATACATAGACATTGTATATATTTATCATAAATTGCTGTTACATAAATACTATAGTGTAATCGCAATTGTGAAACTTACCTATCAAACAAGAGTGCAGAACAAATTGTCAGTCATGTACCAACTACCTAGATGTGGTAGATGTTTACATTTTGCCATGGTAAGGGAATTTTTTTTCTATTTTCTTTCTCTAACATGTCAGCTTAAAATGAAATTTTCATTCACACATTAAAATGACAAAAGAATTTCCCTCCTTTTTTCCACATTTTAAGATAACCAGATGTATGCATCTTTGAAAAGCTAATTTCTAAGTAATACTATTGTTTACTACTTAGAATCCCTTGCTTTCTTTTCCTAAGGTTATAAACCTACAGGAATGTGAATTTACACGAAAATCACTGATATCCTCTCAGGAAAAGAAAAAAGTTTTTACAGTTGGATTAATTTGAATATCATTGCTTTTTTTGCCTATAAATGAAACAGTCCACATTTATTTTCTTTCTTTCAAAATGTTATTGAATCTATAAAAATCAGTTAAATTTCAAAAGTAGATATGATGTTCTGAAACTTGTTTTGGCCTAAGCGTGAAACTAGTGGGGGTTTGTTTGTTTGTTTTGGTTTTGTTTTTTTTAGGGCTAGATTTACCTAGGATGAAATTTGATGCTGCAGGTGTCCTGCTGTGTTTCTACAGTAACAATTAAACAATTCCACATCGACCTAATTACATTACATTGGCTACACAGAGAGAAGTGGAGTTCTTTTGTTTTTGATTTTTGCTTTTCAGAGTGACACTGGTTCAGTAATGAGACAAACTCACTAGGCAGGGAGGCCTTAATGCTGAATATGTTCTTCAGCTATTTTTAAGACAGTTTTTAGCTGATACTAAAAGTATGCTTACCTGGGGTAAAGAACCACAGCTCCAGTTTTCTCTTTGCTCTCTATTCCTCAGTGCTCATCAAGAGGACTCTTCTTGGATTCAGTTAGACCCATTCAAAACCAGGTAAGGAATAGTCCCTAAGATACCAAAACATACCTTAGCGTACTTACTTTAAAATTTTATATTTTTCTATGAGTAATAATATTTGTATATCAAAAAAAGGACAAATCTATTTGTTGCCTATATCAGAGACATACTCCTTCTTAATACTCAACACATAACAAAGTATTTAAATAACATGATGTATATGTATCTTTTAGTTTACATATTCTCTGTGAGTCTTAGTTCAAAATATCTAAGAAATAATCTAATTAGATTAGCCCGGAACAGCTTGCCACTCCTTATTTAATCAGTTCTAGGTTGAGTAATAGCAATAGCAAAAGCTTTGCAGACCCTTAATAAAGATATTTTGTATGTTATAGAACAAAAACATTGAATTTGGGGTGGGAGGGTGGCTATTACCAATGTGAGAAAGATTTCAAATGTTTACTTAATAGCAGCTTGCCATATGAGGGGATTTTTCTCAATTCCCAAATAAAAGTTTGACCGCTTGCCAAAGTTTATTTTAAATGTTCAAATAAGAGCTGCAGAGACCCAGCAAAGTATTAAATATCAAAAGAGAAATGGTCTTCAGAATGTCAGGTTCAACTATTTCGACTTTGTCAATCAACACAAAATTAGATCAACTGTGCACAACTTCATCAAAAGTACAGCAACTGAAAATAAATTCTACTTGGTTCATGTTAGTATGAAGATATTTAGATATAGCAGCAATGTTGTATTGTGTTACTAATGTGAACTTCAACCGCTCAATGCTGTATTTTTAGTGTTAAGTACAGACTATTTTCAAAATAGCATTGCTCTTGTTATTTCCAGAGCATATTTTCATTAAAAGCATATACATCAGAATCAGAATTCACCTTCTCTTAAAGCAATGCTCCAATTCATCTCTTGTGTTTACCTCTGGGTGCCTGTTGCACCTAATATTTATTCCATCTGAAATAAGAATTGTCCTACAATGTTTCTCAACACCTTCCAGCATTTCTAATGCAGGTTTGAAACTAGTTTCTCCTGGAATTTTTATTCTGTGTATCTAATGCCATCTTCTATCTCTTTGTGAAGTAGGAATGGCCGCAAACAAAACTCTTGAGCACCGAACTGGGAGCAAAGTGGTGATTAACTCAGCTGGGAGCTGCAGCGTCATAGATGCCTAACAACTGAGCTCCCCAACAAAGAAAATCCTTGCCCTTTTAAAGGCTTACAACTCTAGAAATTACATGTGAAAGGGTCTTGATTCATGAAGTAGGCCTGAGGTATGAGACTTAGGTGGGGGTTTGATTGTATTTAAGCAAAAACAATACCTTCCAGAAAGATTCCTCCATACCATGCCTGCAATCTACAGGAGTGCGATTAAGGGTGGTGCCGGGGTCTGCCAGCCTTTACTTCTTCTATTGAAATGTATTGTAGAAGTCTAGGGGGAAGGCCTGTTAGAAGCTTAAGAGGATTAAGGGTCTTCTTCCTCACTTCCAGAAAGTCTTCATAATGTTTTGTAGTGGATTTTCTAGTGTTATTAAGATTTTAAGATTATTAAGATTTTCTCTCTCTTTCCTCTGTGTGTGTGTGTGTGTGTGTGTGTGTGTATGTTGGTGGGTTTGCTCTCTAATACACACACACACACACACACACTTCCCACGTATGTGTGTTCCCCCAGAGATGTGAAATGTATGGAAAAAACAGAGTATATTGATTGGCTTTGCTTGTACTTGCATTTGGCCAATATATCAGTTATCTATTCCCATAATAATGTGGCATAACAACCACAAATTTCAGTGGCATATGGCAATAAATGTTCTTTTCTGCATGAGTCTGTGGGTCAGTTAGCTGGTTTTGATGACATAGGCTTGGCTTAACTGATCTCAGCTGGGCTTCTTCATGGGTCTTTGGTAAACTAATAGGTCAGCTTGATGCTGTCTGGTCTAAAAGGATATTAACTGTGTCACTGCAGTCTCCTCCATAAATCTGTTACATTATTGTGACAGACTAGCCCAGACATACTCTCAGTGAGATCACATGGAGGGAAAAGACATAAAAATATGCATGCACTATTTCAAACCTCTATTTCAGTTAACTTACATCTTGCATTTACAAGCAATAACACTAGAAAGTATTCAGAAATTTTTGAGAAATACAGATAATCAGTTTAAACAAACTTAAGCAAGAAAGAAGCTGTCACTTTATGTGCAAAAACATAAACATAGGCACCTAATACATTAAGTTTATCTAATACACTTGTTTGATCCAGGTTCCATTATTACAAATATTTATCTTTATTATAAAGGCCTGAGAAAATATGGAGAGGGTACAAAGACTTAGCTGGAGAAGCTCAGCTAAAGGGCTTTAATTTATCAAATGAGTAAAATTATAACTCCAAGAGTGTCCTTTTTTTATTAAATGAATTATGGTATATGCATTCTGAAAGTCCCTTAAGGACTAAAAATGTTTCACTGTGATGCCTGTAAGACCTTATCCCCAGCTGTTCTTTTGTGCTCCTTTTTTTGAACCCAAAATGATCAGTCAATGGCGAGTACACTGTAACCACAGTCTTAATGCCCTGACAACCTATTTCAAGATTAATGCAACTTTGGCTGACTTTGGACAATGTTCTAGAAAATATTTAAGTTTCTAATTTCCTCAGAAAATTTATCTCTCTGCTGTTCTGAAACAGACACATCTTAATAAAGGTGTAAACTAATGTCCTTGGCTGCTTTTTTTATATGGAAGAACACATATCTATTTTAAATGCTGTTATAGAAGGTAGATAATAAAACCAAGGATATTCACAAGACATTACATGAGATACATTGATTACAAACAAAGCATATATACAAAATAAAATGTATAAAATATACTCTCATTTTAAAATTGTTTAAATGAATATTTAAATATATAGAAATGTGTTTGTGTGTGTATATATATATAATTATGTGATAGACATCTATAAGACCACACATCAAAAAAGTGACACAAATTGTCTTAAGCTGGTAACAGGTCAATTTTTTGTTTTTCATTTTGCCTTTATAGAATTACTGTTTCCTCATTAATTGTTGTATATGCATTGTGAATGACCTTGAAGGACTTTTACAATAGACTTTTACAAAAGATTTTTATAATTCATCACACACATATGTATGGATATATATATAATCTGAATGCATAAAATGTCTTAATTTTAAAAATTTACTTACTCCAGTCTATCAAGTCTTTCAATCAGATGTTAACATTTATGCTTAAGTAGATATTTAAACCGTAATTTTAAATGAATAATTGAAAATATTAAAAATTAAATATGAAAAGAAATATTCTTAATATTTTAAAGTATTGTATAATAACTAATGTGCAACTTTATTCCTTTAAGCTTAAGAATCAATAATGCCTCTTTTTTTCATAATATCAGTAAGACTCAAGTATTTCTTATTTAATGTTGGTTTACATTTGATATCTAACATATATTTTATTTTTAGACAAGACAGAATACTAAAATATTTTATTCTTTTATTCAACTAGTGGAAAATAGTGTTTTGTATTTCTCAAAAAATCAGCATTGTTTATAACTTTAAAAATAAGAAAAATTATATTTAAAGTTGTGGACAGAGGCACAAAATAAGCAGCGATGTTTTACAAATTAATTAAACCATACACATGCTCTATAAGACTGATGCATGTCCAAAGAGATGTCAAATGATGTGTTAATACAATTTCCAAAGCCAAAAATCAATAATTGGCAATAAATATAATGCAAAGCCATAATTCGTCCAAGCTTCTGAAGCCCACATGAATATACACATAAAGACAAAATCTTTAATTTTAGACCTGGAAACACAAGGCACACAGTTAAATTGATAGAATTTAAAAATTGCCTGTAAGTACACACAAATTTCCTAATTAGGAAATGGTATGGGAGTAGTAATTTGGAATAGATGGTTGAAGCTATAGATTTGATTCTGGTACCAGAACATGACTTTGAAATGCTCAGTATAAGATGAGTGCAATATGATCCAGTCTCCTTGACTCTGTAGCATTTCAAGCAAAGCACAGCATTGCAAGGTAGATGAGAAGCAGCAAAGAACAAATCACTGGGCAATGTACTCATTCCGTGTGGCAATACTGTCCAATAGAATTTTCTTTCTTCTCTCTTTTCTTCTCTTACCTTTTCTTTTTTTTTGAGATGGAGTTTTGCTTCTGTTGCCCAGGCTGGAGTGCAATAGGGCAATCTTAGCTCACTTCAACCTCTGCCTCCCAGGTTCAAGCAATTCTCCTGCCTCAGCCTCCCAAGTAGCTGAGATTACAGGTGCACACCACCATGCCCGGCTAATTTTTTGAGTTTTTAGTATAGATGGGGTTTTACCACGTTGGACAGGCTGGTCTTGAACTCCTAACCTCAGGTGATTCACCTGCCTTTGCCTTCCAAAGTGCTGGGATTACTGGCATAAGCCACCAAGCCCGGGCCAGAATTTTCTTATTTGCAAGATATGCTCTATGTCTGTACTGTTCAGTACTTTGACGACTAGTCACATACTACTGAGAGCTTGAATTGTGGCTTATATGACTGATAAGCAGAATTTTTAATTTAAAAAATGCATTTAAACTTTTGGTCATATGTGATTCATAGCTTTCAGATAGGGCAGCTCTATAATTACTTTTTTATCAATTGGATTATAATCTATACTCTAAATTCAGTCAATTTTTTTTTTTTTTTTTTACTTGAGGCAAATTTGGTTAACAAGTGAAGAAATTAGTCAGTATAATGAGCTTTTGTTGTCATTGGTCTGTATTTAGTCATGCTAGTCCTGTAAGAAAGTATCAGCTACCTTTTTAAAATGCCGTAGAAGTTAAAGTTACTTCAATCAAAGCACAACTGGGGAACTCCAGCAACTGGACAAATACTAACTCTGGCTTGACTGGATCAAAATATCAGAGCCAGGGAATGAAGCCTTACTGCCCTCTATTCATTGTCCAGATACATATTTGAAGAAGTCTAAGAATCTTTTAAATATATTTATGATAATAGCTATATTTA